TCAAAAGCAATTTGCAGCATCAGAAAAACCCTTCTGTTATTATGGGCCAACATTTGACCTTTTTTTTTACATTTATGAGAGCATATTTATTTTATAAAAATATTAAAGCTTGTCACACTCTTATGTCAAATACCTGAATTTAATCAATTTAAATAAATTCTCACATTTAATCCATAAATGTTAAATTCTCAAATCATCAGATGGCAGTAGCTGTAAATAATGCATAATAAACACATGCTGAAATACAGTACATTTTACATAAATGGCTGACATATTGCATTTTTGACCTGGTTAAAGGAATAGTTCACCCAAAAATGAAAATTTGCTATAAATTTACTCACCCTCAAGCCATACAAGATGTAGATGAGTTTGTTTCTTCATGGGAATATATCTGGAAAAATGTAGCATTCCATCAGTTGCTCACCAGCGGATGCTCTGCAGTGAATGGGTGCCGTCAGAATCAGAGTCCAAACAGCTGATAAAAACATCACAATAATCCACAAGTAATCCACACCACTCCAGTCCATCAGTTAACATTTTATGAAGCCAAACGCTGTGTGTTTGTAATAAATTTGTCATTAAGGCAATTCAATTTTAAACTCTTGCTTCTGGCCAAAATACGAGTCCATAATCCATAATAACGCTTCCTCCAGTTTTGAACTGTTTCGCTTGCAAGCGGTGCTTAATCTGTGCACATTTCTCTCCTGATTCAGACGAGACAACTTTTCCACTATAGAAAGCAATATTATAGAGGATTGAAAGCAATGGATTAAAATGGATTTGTTTCTTACAAACACACAGCTTTTGGCTTCAGAAGATGTTAACTGATGGACTGGAGTGGTGTGGATTACTTGTGGATTATTGTGATGTTTTTAATCAGCTGTTTGGACTCTCATTCTGACGGCACCCATTCACTGCAGAGCATCCATTGCTGAGCAAGTGATGCAATGCTACATTTCTACAAATCCATTCCCATGAAGAAACAAACTCATCTACATCTTAGATGACTTCAGGGTAAGTAAATATTCATCAAATTAAATTTTTTGGGTCAACTATTCCTTTAATGTCTGTCCATGGTCATTTCTTTCTGTTTATTATGTTATCCTTTCTTAGTCATATTTTGAGGATTGACTACTTTTAAATTTGTTCAATTGTTCTTGTTCTTTGTGCCAAGGCCATACATCCTTGAAGTGGCCAAAAACTACCAGCACGGTATGACAACTTGTGTGGGCTTTTATAATATAGATTCCCCCCACCCCCCGGCTTTATTACATTATCAAATCAATGACATTATTTTTCTTTATGAATATAGTCAATCCAAGACCCAGAAGTATTCCCGTGACTGTTATTAATAAAACCTTGAAGTCGAGACTGAAAAGGGTGAGAACATTTGACTCAGCCCATAGTCTCCGATACTCAAACTGCTTCTTTAAATGTAAAACAAATTCACAGTTTAAAACTCCCTCAATGACCAGGTATGAACATTGCTGTCTTGTGTCTGCTCTTATTTCAGATTGAACGATTAGAAGAACTGTTGCCTCAAATCAAGCTAAAACACCATGAAAATATGACAAAGGTGAACTTCTGATCTGATGTTATATTTAACTCCGTTTTCTTTCCTGCTTTGAGGTTTTTCCTGTTGAAACAGGATCATTTCATGCTTTTAATTGCAGGACATTGAGTTACTGAATCAAAAGCTGGTATTTCTTCACAAACGAATGCAGGTAAAATGTTATTCCTCATATGCAGCTGTGTGACCATCATCAAAATAATCATTACTAACTAATCTACATCAACCATGTAATCTATTTAATATAGGTGTCAATTATAAGGGAATGTCATGTGAATATTATTTGCCATAATATTGTAATTATAAGTGCGAGACAGTCTCAGTGTCTGTTCACCTTTCATTGGTTTCAGATGGCTGAGTCGTATTGCTGGGAGGGGATGTTGAGAAGAGCTCCACTGTGGTGAATGATGCTTACGCTTCAGGACGTCCGGTTGAACTGTTAACATCATAGAGAGAAGAAGCAGGCTGTTCAGTTTTTCTTTTGTATCTGTAGAGATTCTGAATGATCTTTCTGGAGTTGTATAAATAACTCGTCATGTATTTTATCTGCGTAGTGGACACAAGTTGACTTTAAAATGCATGAATGTGATTGCATTATATATGGCATCTACAAATAAATGCTGCATGAGATTTTCTCAGAATACACATCACTTTTCTGAGCCTTTTTTTTTTTTTACTTTTAGTGGATGTATGAAATCAGTTCTCCTCAGATTCACACAGGTGTCCAGCAGAGTAACTACAGGTGTAGAGAATCACATTAACTATCAACATGATCCAAAGGATGCTCTGCAGTGAATGGGTGCCGTCAGAATGAGAGTCCAGACAGCTGATAAAAACATCACAATATCCACCAGTAATCCACACCACTCCAGTCCATCAGTTAACATCTTGTGAAGCCAAAAGCCAGGTTTTAGGCACTCTGCACCGCACACCCCTTAGCTGCTCTGTGTTCAAGGTAAACCATAGCTTCCTTGGGCTTATTGCTTTAGTACTGCATGACAAAGTTCCTTAAAAAGTGCATCTCTACTACAATTCATGGAAAGATGGCAAAATTTAAATGTATTTAACATATATTTAATAAAAACAGAGAATATGCCATTAATATCTGTAACATAATTAAATTAGCCAGTTTTGTTTGGCAAAGAGTTGCAAAAATGACAACACCCTTGTAAAGTTCCAGTACTTGGTATGTCCTCAACGTAAAGTTGCTCTGACCCTTCTTGGCACTGAGTGTACTGTACACTTTCATGACATGAGCATCACATCTGTCCTGTTTAACTCCTGGAGAGGATGACCTCTTAAACGCCCTGGTCTGTAATGGGGAGTGTTGCTCAACTTGTCTCTACAGAACCCCCCACAAGTGCTCAAGTGTGTCAAAATTTGATCTGGATCCAACCACACCCCCTGGATCTTGTGTTCTGCAGTGAGGACCATCTCCAGTAGTTGTGCACTGAAGGATTTTCATCTTAGGTGAATGTATATAGTCATTGTGATGTCCAAAATGCCCAACAATGCAGGGAAAGAGGAGAGGGTGGCATCTTCTGTTTCAAATTTCTGTATTATATCACACAATGGTGTGTGAATTCATGACAGCATCAATAAAGCACAACTCCCTCACACCTTCAGCACTCACACATCCCTATAGAAGAGCTTTACTACAGAACTTCACTGTGGGAAACAGGCACTTCTCACTGCAACACCATAACATTTTGGATGCTGTTAGATCCAAAATAATTGACTTGGTCTCATGAGACCAGAGTATGTATTAACAGAGGTCCATTCCTCTTGTACCAGTGTCCTCTTCTGTGCCAAGAAATAAGTCTCCTGACGATTCTCTCTCTTCCATTGTTGTCAACATTGCATTTGATAATGATTCATTGGGCTATGCAACACATTTGTTGAGAAATTGCTCCTCTTTAAATGTTTTGATTCAACATGCTCTGTTTGATCAATAATTGCCTCGGACCGGGATATTTTTATTTAGTTTCACGAGTTTGCCTGCCTATCCAGTCTTAATAGTTAATGGTAAACAAACTTGGCTTGAACCCGAGGCTCAGCTTGAGCTCTGAGTTCAACCCACGCATTGTGGTACTACATAGAAGGAGAATAACAAAAATAGAGGAGGAGATGGGGAGGTGGAGGGATGCCAGAAGAATTGTCGCTGGGAAGGTGCAATGACTGCTGCTTATATACGCTCGTAATGATGATTGACAGGACTGAATGATTGGGCTCCTTCTTCATTTTTATCACTTTGATAAGAAAACAATATTCTGAATAATCCGGACGTGTTTCTTCAGTAATTGATCAAGCAGATTTGCTGGTACATTGCATCTAAGAACCACCCTGTTTTCTAGTAGAGTG